TACCATCTTAAGAATGCCCTCAGCAGAGGGACGACAGAAAGCCTTTTCAACATGTTCATCTCATCTTCTGGTAGTTACCTTATTTTATGGCACAGCCATATCTACCTACTTCAACCCTAAGTCCAAGTACTCACCAGATACAAAGAAGATCCTCTCCCTCTCTTACACAGTCATCACACCCATGTTAAACCCTTTTATCTATAGTCTAAGAAACAAGGAGGTCAAAGGCGCAATGAAAAGAACATTATGTCGGCAGGTTTTTGCCCAAAATATAATAAAATTTGTTGGGCCACTGACATAAAACATCTTTGTGAATGCTGAAAGAATGAAAGATTAAGATGCATAATGGACCTTTCTTACATCTAGTTTAAATTTTACCAATGTTCTAACATTTTTAAAAGCAAAGAGTGATATATACAGTAATTTAACCACTCATAAAATCACTCCTGACAAGTATCAGGTGGAATGTTGTCATCAGTATGGTGTGGAATCCAAACAATTGTTCATACTGATTGCAGAATTACTGAAATCAAAGGTACTAAATTAACCCTGTGGCAAGACCAGTTTAGTCTGTTCAATGGCTGTGTCCAGACAGTAGCGTTTCGTAATCAAATCAGTCCTTCAAGTACATTTGTTCGAAATTGAATTATATGTAACATTATTCTATGCTTAAATGCTGAATATACCTTTGTTTCAAAATCCTCCTCAGCATGAAACAAGCAGGAATTATAAGTTGAAGTTACAGCAAATGTTATGCAAATTTAGTCTGCAATAGCATTTTCCAACATGGTGCTCCCCAACATGGTAGGACCACAGCTCTCAGGATTTTCAGCCAAATATTATCCATTTAGATTGGAAATGTTGTGATTTCTATCCTCAGTAGATACAGAGAATATCCTGCTAGGGAAGCTATCTTATATCCTAATGATACCACTGGTATACTGCTTCTCCTCTTTAATACATTTTTAAATCTATTTTGTATGTTTTTGATTTATACTTCTACAGAGGTTCTTTTTCACATTGATATGACTTTTAAGGATCTTCTGCACACTGATTGGCATTCCTGGTTTTTAACAGGACACATAGTTGATATGGGGCATTGGGAAGAAAGGCAAAAGAAAATATATATATAAGCATCAATTAATGTGGTGCTGGGGAGTTTGTTACAATATAGGCACCATGAAGCACTTGCAAGAATGAATTTTGCTAACTATTGGAATTATAATAATGAGATCTTGAATCATCTGTTGGGTTGGGGTGGAAATCTATGCTGGATGAAATTCAAATGCCAGAAATGTTTGTTCTTGTATCCATTATATGGTCCTCATTGGTCACTAAGGAAAGGTGGTCCATGAAGCTGTGGGTTTTAATCCCCGAGTTCGTGCCCTACCTACACTGTTGTGTCAGGAAAGCCTATATCTTAAGAAGAACTCTCCCATTCTTCAGTCAGCTAGGTTGTTGCTTGTTGTAGATTGTATTAACGAATAAAACAAGTTGTAACTGAAATCATGACTCTTCTCTCTTTATTGCTTAATCCAATAGAGATGGGTGATATATTGCACCAGCTCCACTGTGGAATAATGGTGCTTCTCCAGTGGAAAATAAATATTTTGCCCTTCTTCTGTAGCGAAAGAAAGAAAGAAAGAAAGAAAGAAAGAAAGAAAGAAAGAAAGAAAGAAAGAAAGAAAGAAAGAAAGAAAGAAAGAAAGAAAAAGAAAGATTTATTGAAATGTTTACCAGTTTGCACAACAGAGGGAAGTTTAACTGGATGCTTAAGAAATAATAGATTTCACAAATAGATTTTCAGTAATTACTGCTAGTTATTTCAGGGAGATAGAAATACAGAAGGGGATTTCTTCCTCCAAAATTTTTCCTCGTTAGAGATCTGCTTCAGGTTAGTAATCATTCCAAAGATGCTATCCAATTTTCTAATGGAGAAGAAGACCATTTCCTATATTGGCTGTTCCACACAAACATTTCTCCTTCTCCTTCTCCTTCTCCTTCTCCTTCTCCTTCTCCTTCTCCTTCTCCTTCTCCTTCTCCTTCTCCTTCTCCTTCTCCTTCTCTTCTTCTGTAGTGTATGACCATTATGTTGCCATTTGCAATTCATTACATTATCCAGAAATTAAGCATAGAAATTAAGCATAGAAAAGCATGATTCTTCCAATCATCATGGTTCTCTGGTTTCCCAGTGTCTACTATCCAGACTACATGAATATTCAGCCTGCCACTTTATGGGCCTAACATAGTCATTGGATAGACCCCCATTGCTGGAATTGGCTTGTGTGGACACCTACATGCTTGAAATTGAAGTTCTTATATCTATTTTCCTCCTCATTATGTTTCCCTTCATCTTGATTTTACTCATCTACGTCCACATCATCATTACCATCTACGGATGCCCTTAGCAGAGGGGAGGCAAAAAGTCTTTTCAACATGTTCATCTCATTTTCGAGTGGTTTCCTTATTTTATGGCACAGCCATATCTACCTACCTCAACCCTAAATCCAAGTACTCTCCAGATGAAAAGAAGATCCTCTCCTTCTCCTACACAGTCATCACTGCCATATTAAACACTTTCATCTATAGTAAGAGAAGCAAGATCAGAGGTGGACTGAAGAGAACATTCCATCACAGAAAATTACAGATCAAGATAGATTTTTTTTTTCAGTCACTAAAACTAGTGGCATATTTTTGTGAACACTGAAAGAATTAAACATTATATTACCTTGCTTCATATTTAACCAATAGATTAGATAGATATAGATATATGGATGGATGGATGGATGGATGGATGGATAGATAGATAGATAGATAGATAGATAGATAGATAGATAGATAGATAGATAGATAGAGATAGTTAACCACTTGGAAGCTCACCACAGGAACACTAAGCACAGGTAAGGAGGTGTCTTCATGTCAATCAATTTTTCTCTTACTATTATTTTCAAAACATCCATAATCTTCATTATTTGCAAATGAAAATGGCTTGTTTTCACTTTCTTCTATGGCCCAAATGATGAAATGTATTAGTGAGACAGTGCACTATTATTCACACCTACTAAACTATTATTCCTGAATATTGGTAATGGGATATTTAATCATTCAGATTTACTGGGAAGTTGACTTTAAAAAAGCTTGACCATCTATTTCGCAACCCCAGCCCCCAAATATGGCTTGAATAGAGATACTTTTTTTCCCCCCTTCCATTTAACACATCTTCAAGAATGTATAAACTGCACACGTGTGTTTTTCCGCTTTCAAGAAGTATATACATTTATTTAGCAAATAAATTTAGCTTCATTCGGCTTAGTATTGTTTTATATAATAATGCAATACAATATTTTCTGCTTTTTGAAAAATTATTTATTACATGATTGCAATTTTCTTTCTTTAGCATATACGATCTGCCTACTGTTAATCAAGGCAATTTATGTAATGCATTTAAAATAGAATAAAACATTAATGAGTTCCTAAGGAAGAACAAAGATATATAAAATCCCTTCTTCCCTTTCATAGCTCTTCTTAGATGATGATGATGATTCCACATAGCGGAACAGAACTGTGTAGAAATAATTTTAGCTATGAATTGCAAACCAGACAGATATTAGAATTTAACATTTTCTGCATCTCTTCAATTTTCAAAGTCAGTGGCTTACAGTTTTGAAAGTCAAGGTTAAAACATCAAATCCTGGAATTTAAAAGAAAAGAAGGATTGGAACATACTAATAATGATAGTAGAAAATAAGAATGGTCTATATATTATGTCTGTGCAGACTACTGAAGAGGCACTTCTGAAGTAACAGAATTGTCTTACCAATAGAAGAGAATATACAGTATGTAGCTCAGGGTTGAACTGTGCACTGAAGATGTTACCTAGATGGGTAACGAAACGTCTGCAAGAGAACCCCAAGAACTCCATAGAATTCTCTCTCTGAACTCACTGCTTGAAGTATCAATTAGCCATGTCATATTGAAGGTCTGATGTGGGTAGTAAAGTGATCTGCTCACATCATCACTGAATGTCTGGGCATGAGCCAAATGTGCTTTCTCTGGCTTGCCAACAAAATAAAGCCAAAATTGTTTCCACAACCTTATACCTCTATACAATTAACATAACTTTTATGTTCCAAAACTGTAATCTAAATAAAATATAATCATTAAACAGTTCAAATTAAATGATGTATGATAGACAGGTGCTGGATAAACACATGATAAATACAAACTCAGCTTCAGACAGCTGTTTATTATTAATGTAGTATCCATGAAAGCAGTAAGACTTAATTATAAATCAAAACTCATGATTCAGATACTCTATCCAATGACTAATCTCAGGTGAAGGTAATAAATTGATCTGCCAACAGCATCAGTGCATTAAATAAAAAACAACTGGAACTTACTGAATAATGATAGTAGAAAATAATGGTTACCAATGGGCAGACCACTGGAGAGGTACCATTCAAGAAGACAGTGAGAAGAATTAAATATATATAAATATAGATATCATTCAGAATTTCCAAAATCAGATGGTGTTAGGAGGAAGGAAGGAAGGAAGGAAGGAAGGAAGGAAGGAAGGAAGGAAGGAAGGAAGG